CCAGGAAGCTGTCCCCCCGGTTCGTCAGGCAATTCAGAGTGGTCCGGCGTGTCAACCCAGTGGCCTACCGCCTGCAACTTCCCCCCACCATGCGGGTGCATCCCACATTCCATGTGTCCCTCCTCAAGCCCGTCGCCACCTGTCCCCTGGCTCCCCCTCCTCGTCCCGTTCCCCTGCTGCGCCTCGTCGGAGGACAGCCAGCTTTTACTGTGGACTGGATCCTGGACTGCCGGCGGGTGGGGAGGGGTCTCCAATTTCTGGTGGACTGGGAGGGTTATGGGCCGGAGAAGCGGTCCTGGGTGCCCAGGAGGGACATTCTGGACCCAGGGCTGATAACAACATTTCGTTCGTCGGGGCCGTTCGTCGTGGGGGTAATGTTACAAGAGGGGGTCGCAGTTCCGGAGCGACCCACTAAGTGTCTTCCTCCGACAACATTAGGCACCTCCTCACTCACAGTCTGGACTAATCAGTATCCTATTGTTGTCACCTGTGTCTACCTGTTCACCTGTGTATTTATGCCCTCACTTCCCTTGCTCAATCTCTGTTAGTTTCTCTATGTCCAGCAGTACTACTCAGTGTCTGATCGGAGGCCTATGTACAGGTACTTGAGAAGTGTTCTCCCTTGTTTCGTTATTGTTTCAGAAATAGGTAGTATTTCGTATTTTGGCTGTCAGACGGTTTTTGGAGACTTACTTGCTCCACCTTTTTTTTAAATGTGAAAAGTCCGTTATTTTGTATTTTGGCTTCGGGACCACCAATAAAGATCCCATGTTTCACAATCTCTGCCTACTGCCTACTGTATATCCTGCACCGCACCTGGGTCACACCTCACACCAACCCTTACACTGTGCCTCGACACCATCCTGACTTGGAGCTCTACGGACAATTCCTTCGACTTCATGGCTTGGTTTTTGATCTGACATGTACTGTCAACTGTGGGACCTTACATAGACAGGTGTGTGCCTTTCCAAATCATTTCCAATCAATTGAATTTACCACAGGTGGACACCAATCAAGTTGTAGAAACATCTCAAGGATGTTAAATCGTAACAGAATGCACCTGAGCTCAATTTCGAGTCTCATAGCAAAGGGTCTGAATACTTATGTAAATAAGGTATTTCAGTTTTTTTTTTTTTTTTTACATTTGCAAACATTTCTAAAAACCTGTTTTCGCTTTGTCATTATGGGGTATTGTATGTAGATTGATGAGGACATATTTTTATTTAATCAACTTTAGAATAAGGCTGTAACATAACAAAATGTGGAAAAAAGGAAGGGGTCTAATTACTTTCTGAATGCACTGTATGTTTTCTTAAAACGTTAGAAATTATACTGAACAAAAATATAAACGCAACATTCATCAATTTCAAAGATTTTACTGAGTTACATTTCATATAAGGAAATCAGTCAATTTAAATAAATAAATTAGGCCCTAATCTATGGATTTCACATTACTGGGAATACACCTTTTTTTTTAAAGGTAGGGGCGTGGATCAGAAAACCAGTCAGTATTTGGTGTGACCACCATTTGCATCACACAGCACAACACATCTCCTTTTCATTGAGTTGATCAGTGGTCTGTGGAATTTTGTCCCACTCCTCTTCAATGGTTGTGTGAAGTTGCTTGATATTGGTGGGAACTGGAACACGCTGTCGTACATGTTGATCCAGAGTATCCCGAACATGCTCAAGGGGTGACATGTCTGGTGACTATGCAGGCTTCCAGGAATTATGTACAGATTCTTGCGACATGGGGCCGTGCATTATCATTCTGAAACATGAGGTGATGGCGGCGGATTAATGGCACAACAATGGGACTCAGGATCCATAAAAATTGTATGTACTACCAAATTCTCTAAAATGACATTGGAGCAGCTTATGGTAGAGAAATGAACAATACATTCTCAGGAAACAGCTCTGGTGGACATTCCGGCAGTCAGCAATTCAATTGCACGCTCCCTCAAAACTTCAGACATCTGTGGCATTGTGCTGTGTGACAAAACTGCACATTGTAGAGTGGCCTTTTATTGTCCCCACCACAAGGTGCACCTGTGTAATGATCATGCTGTTTAATCAGCTTCTTGATATGCCACACCTGTCAGGTGGATGATTTATCTTGGTAAAGGAGAAATGCTCACGAACAGGGATGTAAATACATTTGTGCACAACATATAGAGAAATAAGCTTTTCGAGCGTATGGAACATTTCTGGGATCTTTTATTTCAGCTCAATAAACATGGTACCAACACTTTAGATTTTGTGTCTTTATTTTTGTTCAGTGTAATTCAAAATGAAAAGCTGAAATGTCTTGAGTCAATAAGTATTCAACCCCTTTGTTATGGCAAGTTTAAATAAGTTCAGGAGTACAAATGTGCTTAACAAGTCACATAATACATTGTTAAATGGACTCACTCTGTGTGCAACAATAGTGTTCAACATGATTTGTGAAAGAATGCCTAATCTCTGTGCACCACACATACAATTATCTGTAAGGTCCCTCGGTCGAGCAGTGAATTTCAAACACAGATTCAACCATAAAGTACAGGGAGGTTTTCCAATGCCTCGCAAAGAAGGGCGGGCACCTATTAGTAGATGGGTATAAATAAAACAATCAGACATTGAATATCCATTTGAGCATGGTGAAGTTATTAATAACACTTTGGATGGTGCATCAATACCTCCAGTCATTACAAAGATACTACCTAAGTCTGTTGCCGGGAGAGGAAGGAAACCGCCCAGGGATTTCATCATGAGGCGTATGGTGTCTTTGAAGCAGTGACAGTTTAATGGGTGTGATAGGAGAAACCTGAGGATGGATCAACAACAAAGTAGTTACTCCACAATACTAACCTAATTGACAGAGTGAAAAGAAGGAAGCCTGTACAGAATACAAGTATTCCTAAACATGCACGCTGTTTGCAGTAAGGCACTAAAGTAAAACTGGAAAAAAACATGGCAAAGAAATAAACTTTTTTTCTGAATACAAAGCGTTATGTTTGGGGCAAATCCAACACATCACTGAGTACCACTCTAAATATTTTCATGGTGGTGGCTGCATCATGTTATGGGTATGCTTGTCATCGGCAAGCATTAGGGAGTTTTTTTTATGCTAAAAATAAACGTAATAGAGCTAAGCACAGGCAAAATCCTAGAGGAAAACCTAGTTCAGTCTGCTTTCCACCAGACCCTGGGAGACAAATTCACCTTTCAGCAGGACAATAACCTAAAACACAAGGCCAAATATACACTGGAGTTGCTTAACAAGATGACGTTGAATGTTCCTGAGTGGCGTAGTTACAGTTTTGACTTAAATCGGCTTGAAATCTATGGCAAGTCATGAAAATGGTTGTCTAGCAATAATCAACGACCATCTTGAGAGAGCTTGAAGAGTTTAAAAAAGAATAATGTGCAAATATTGTACAATCCAGGTGTGCAAAGCTCTTAGACTTACCCAGAAACTCACAGCTGTAATCGCTGCCAAAGGTGATTCTAGCATGTATTGACTCAGGGGATTGAACACTTATATAATCAAGATATATTAAGGTTTTCTTTTTCATTAATTTGTTACAAATGTTAGAATTGTTCTTCCAATTTGACATTACAGAGTATTTTGTGTAGATCACTGACAAAAATGACAAGGTAAATCCATTTTAATCCCACTTTGTAACACAACAAAATGTGGAAAAAGTCAAGAGGTGTGAATACTTTATGACATAGTCAAACATTATGTTATTTATGCTGAATTATTTCCTTTTGAAAAGTTGGTGGTAATGTCCAAACTAACCCCCCCAAAAATATTCAGGGGCTTAGTAAATATTTCCACATAAGTATGCAGGTTTCAGATTTTACTTCAATATTTTATTACCTTACTTAATTTTTGTGTTCAAACTGCATGACATTCGAAAATGTAAATTCAATTTAATACACTGCAAAATCTAAACAATTATTTGTGTGTAAAAACAACTACGAGGGAAGTACTGTTTAATTTACTCCAATTTCATATTTTCTCTCAACTTAAGAATTGTAAATTCCTGCAACAACTTGACATGTGGCTCCATTTTTAGAGGATTGTGTGGGTAATTCAATGAATTATATTTTTACACAATGTTGTGTGCATGTTGGAAGAAATAAAATGATATTTCTATATTAGTATTGGGCAGTTTGCTGTGCTATGAGGTGTAATAGATCATGATGAACGGATATCAAAACTGTTGGGCAAATTGACTTTCAAAGATGTCATTAGCCATTCCCACCAGAGCTAATTCACGCACATCACCCTTAATATCAGAGGCAAATGCAGCATCCTACAATGTTTGCAGCTCTTTGCCACTTTCTGCTAGTAGAATGAGCTCTGTGTTCAACAATGCCCTGCTAAAGTGTGTTTAAATGGCTATCACGAAAAATAGATCATTAAATGTTTCTTATAAATTCAAATGGGCAGTTTAAGGACGACTTGACATCACATTTCAGTCAGAGAATGGTGGCAGTCTCTTCAAATGAAAAGGAAAGTTAAAGAGTAAGGCAACTAGCCAAGCAATAGACTACCATATTAGTTATTAATTTGCTTGAGGTCAACGGTTGATTTGGTTTGGAAGTGAATAACAATGCAACTAACTTTATTGAAACAGGAAATTGCAAAATTGAGGGTGAAAAAGTTTTATTTCAACACTCGGCAAGTATTCGTTTTTTTTTTACAATCTCCATTGATGTCATTTATACTGTCTAATGATATAACTGTTTGTAAAGACAGTGTATTCTAAGTGCGACATTACGTTTTTTGGTATAATTTAGCAGACGTTCTTATCCAGAGCCACTTCTAATCAGTGCATTCAATTCAATATGTAAAACAAACACGTATAAAAATCATACAAAAACACAATTGAAATAAATATACATTACAGTGTTTGCAACCCTTTTTCATTTCATAGCTTTTTACAGATACTCCCAGATGAACCATATGTTTGCTTTGAAACGAAGGTAAGATTCCAGACATCGAATGGCTACATCATCCACCTCTGGGTCAAACTTGTTAGCGATGAGGTGGTGGTGTTGTAGGAGCCACCGGAGATCTCCAGCCCGTAGACACACACAGCTCTCCTGGAGGCACCGGAGCAGGGTGGATATGGGGCTCCTTTCCTCACATCTCCTTCCAGGTAACTCCACTTCACCATGCGAGCGATGGCGTTCATGTCTGTTTCATGGTACTTAATGTGGGGAGGGTTAGACCCTGGCACTGAGGGCATGCGCTGCAGAGTTGGGCCCCCAGGTGCTCATCAAGGACCCGTAGGTGTCCCTCTCCCACTCCAGCAGGGCCAAACCCTCCTGGCTGTCAAACACGTGAGGACAAAGGCCCTGGAGACCCCGAAATTTGGCCTTTCCGGAGAACATGGGGGTGCTGATTGGAGGAGGGCTCTTGTAACGCCCGTCCTGACCACTATGTTGTTGGTGATGTTGTGCTGATACTGCCACTGGTTTTCTTTTAAATCGACGATGGGTTTAGACTCCCTCTTTCCCCCAGCGTTGATGCTGAAACCATCTTGCGGGGTTTTCCCCGGGTTTTAAATTTTGGGGGAAAATTTTCCCCCTTTTGTTTCAGTATAGGGTAGATTTCGTATTTTGGCTGCAGACGGTTTTGGGGGAACTTATTCTCCACTTTCTTTTATCGGAGACCGTAGTGTCTTCTTCCGACCCCCATAGGAATCCCATTTTTCACAATTCTGCAAACTGCCTATTGTTTACCGGGCACCGCACCGGGTTTTTTACCCTCACCCCTTACCTGTTGCCTCACCCAACTCCGATTTGGGTCTACGGACCAATTCCTTGAATTCTCCCTGTTGTTTTTTGTGAATGGAATTTCTATTTTGGGGCTTCAGACGGTTTTTTAACTTTGCCCCATTTTTTACACGGGGGGACCAACCCTTTAAAATTGTATTTTGCTCGGAATGCACCTGAGCTAAATTTCGAGTCTCATGAAAAAGGGTCTGAATACTTATGTAAATAAGGTATTTCAGTTTTTTTTTTTTTTTTTTACATTTGCAAACATTTCTAAAAACTGTTTCGCTTTGTCATTATGGGGTATTGTATGGTAGATTGATGAGGACATATTTTTATTTAATCAACTTTAGAATAAGGCTTGTAACATAACAAAATGTGGAAAAAAGGAAGGGGTCTAATTACTTTCTGAATGCACTGTATGTTTTCTTAAAACGTTAGAAATTATACTGAACAAAAATATAAACGCAAATTCATCAATTTCAAAGATTTTACTGAGTTACATTTCATATAAGGAAATCAGTCAATTTAAATAAATAAATTAGGCCCTAATCTATGGATTCACATTACTGGGAATACACCTTTTTTTTTAAAGGTAGGGGCGTGGATCAGAAAACCAGTCAGTATTTGGTGTGGACCACCATTTGCATCACCCAGCACAAACACATCTCTTTTCATTGAGTTGATCAGTGGTCTGTGGAATTTTGTCCCCACTCCTCTTCAATGGTTGTGTGAAGTTGCTTGATATTGGTGGGGAACTGGAACACGCTGTCGTACATGTTGATCCAGAGTATCCCGAACATGCTCAAGGGGTGACAGTCTGGTGACTATGCAGGCTTCCAGGAATTATGTACAGATTCTTGCGACATGGGGCCGTTGCATTATCATTCTGAAACATGAGGTGATGGCGGCGGATTAATGGCCACAACAATGGGACTCAGGATCCATAAAATTGTATGTACTACCAAATTCTCTAAAATGACATGGGAGCAGCTTATGGTAGAGAAATGAAACAATACATTCTCAGGAAAACAGCTCTGGTGGACATTCCGGCAGTCAGCAATTCAATTGCACGCTCCCTCAAAATTCAGACATCTGTGGCATTGTGCTGTGTGACAAAACTGCACATTGTAGAGTGGCCCTTTTATTGTCCCCACCACAAGGTGCACCTGTGTAATGATCATGCTGTTTAATCAGCTTCTTGATATGCCACACCTGTCAGGTGGGATGATTTATCTTGGTAAAGGAGAACTGCTCACGAACAGGGATGTAAATACATTTGTGCACAAACATATAAGAGAAATAAGCTTTTCGAGCGTGTATGGAACATTTCTGGGATCTTTTATTTCAGCTCAATAAACATGGTACCCAACACTTTAGATTTTGTGTCTTTATTTTTGTTCAGTTTGTAATTCAAAATGAAAAGCTTGAAATGTCTTGAGTCCAATACGTATTCAACCCCTTTGTTATGGCAAGTTTAAATAAGTTCAGGGAGTACAAATGTGCTTAACAAGTCACATAATACATTGTTAAATGGGACTCACTCGGTGTGCAACAATAGTGTTCAACATGATTTGTGAAAAGAATGCCTAATCTCTGTGCACCACACATACAATTATCTGTAAGGTCCCTCGGTCGAGCAGTGAATTTCAAACACAGATTCAACCATAAAGTACAGGGAGGTTTTCCAATGCCTCGCAAAGAAGGGCGGGCACCTATTAGTAGATGGGTATAAATAAAACAATCAGACATTGAATATCCATTTGAGCATGGTGAAGTTATTAATAACACTTTGGATGGTGCATCAATACCTCCAGTCATTACAAAGATACTACCTAAGTCTGTTGCCGGAGAGGAAGGAAACCGCCCAGGGATTTCATCATGAGGCGTTATGGTGTCTTTGAAGCAGTGACCGTTTTAATGGGTGTGATAGGAGAAACTGAGGATGGATCAACAACAAAGTAGTTACTCCACAATACCTAACCTAATTGACAGAGTGAAAAGAAGGAAGCCTGTACAGAATACAAGTATTCCTAAACATGCACGCTGTTTGCAGTAAGGCACTAAAGTAAACTGGAAAAAAAACATGGCAAAGAAATAAACTTTTTTCTGAATACAAAGCGTTATGTTTGGGGCAAATCCAACACATCACTGAGTACCACTCTAAATATTTTCATGGTGGTGGCGCATCATGTTATGGGTATGCTTGTCATCGGCAAGCATTAGGGAGTTTTTTTTATGCTAAAAATAACGTAATAGAGCTAAGCACAGGCAAAATCCTAGAGGAAAACCTAGTTCAGTCTGCTTTCCACCAGACCCTGGGAGACAAATTCACCTTTCAGCAGGACCAATAAACCTAAAACACAAGGCCAAATATACACTGGAGTTGCTTAACAAGATGACGTTGAATGTTCCTGAGTGGCGTAGTTACAGTTTTGACTTAAATCGGCTTGAAAATCTATGGCAAGTCATGAAAATGGTTGTCTAGCAATAATCAACGACCATCTTGAGAGAGCTTGAAGAGTTTTTTTAAAAAAGAATAATGTGCAAATATTGTACAATCCAGGTGTGCAAAGCTCTTAGACTTACCCAGAAACTCACAGCTGTAATCGCTTGCCAAAGGTGATTCTAGCATGTATTGACTCAGGGGATTGAACACGTATATAATCAAGATATATTAAGGTTTTCTTTTTCATTAATTTGTTACAAATGTAGAATTGTTCTTCCAATTTGACATTACAGAGTATTTTGTGTAGATCACTGACAAAAATGACAAGTAAATCCATTTTAATCCCACTTTGTAACACAACAAAATGTGGAAAAAGTCAAGAGGTGTGAATACTTTATGACATAGTCAAACATTATGTTATTTATGCTGAATTATTTCCTTTTGAAAAGTTGGGTGGTAATGTCCAAACTAACCCCCCCAAAAATATTCAGGGGCTTAGTAAATATTTCCACATAAGTATGCAGGTTTCAGATTTTACTTCAATATTTTATTACCTTACTTAATTTTGTGTTCAAAACTGCATGACATTCGAAAATGTAAATTCAATTTAATACACTGCAAAATCTAAACAATTATTTGTGTGTAAAAAACAACTACGAGGGAAGTACTGTTTAATTTACTCCAATTTCATATTTTCTCTCAACTTAAGAATTGTAAATTCCTGCAACAACTTGACATGTGGCTCCATTTTTAGAGGATTGTGTGGGTAATTCAATGAATTATATTTTTACACAATGTTGTGTGCATGTTGGAAGAAATAAAATGATATTTCTATATTAGTATTGGGCAGTTGCTGTGCTATGAGGTGTAATAGATCATGATGAACGGATATCAAAACTGTTGGGCAAATTGACTTTCAAAGATGTCATTAGCCATTCCCACCAGAGCTAATTCACGCACATCACCCTTAATATCAGAGGCAAATGCAGCATCCTACAATGTTTGCAGCTCTTTGCCACTTTCTGCTAGTAGAATGAGCTCTGTGTTCAACAATGCCTGCTAAAGTGTGTTAAATGGCTATCACGAAAAATAGATCATTAAATGTTTCTTATAAATTCAAATGGGCAGTTAAGGACGACTTGACATCACATTTCAGTCAGAAGAAGGTGGCAGTCTCTTCAAATGAAAAGGAAAGTTAAAGAGTAAGGCAACTAGCCAAGCAATAGACTACATATTAGTTATTAATTTGCTTGAGGTCAACGGTTGATTTGGTTTGGAAGTGAATAACAATGCAACTAACTTTATTGAAACAGGAAATTGCAAAATTGAGGGTGAAAAAGTTTTATTTCAACACTCGGCAAGTATTCGTTTTTTTTTACAATCTCCATTGATGTCATTTATACTGTCTAATGATATAACTGTTGTAAAGACAGTGTATTCTAAGTGCGACATTACGTTTTTTGGTATAATTTAGCAGACGTTCTTATCCAGAGCCACTTCTAATCAGTGCATTCAATTCAATATGTAAAACAAACACGTATAAAAATCATACAAAAACACAATTGAAATAAATATACATTACAGTGTTTGCAACCCTTTTTCATTTCATAGCTTTTTACAGATACTCCCAGATGAACCATATGTTGCTTTGAAACGAAGGTAAGATTCCAGACATCGAATGGCTACATCATCCACCTCTGGGTCAAACTTGTTAGCGATGAGGTGGTGGTGTTGTAGGAGCCACCGGAGATCTCCAGCCCCGTAGACACACACAGCTCTCCTGGAGGCACCGGAGCAGGGTGGGATATGGGGCTCCTTTCCTCACATCTCCTTCCAGGTAACTCCACTTCACCATGCGAGCGATGGCGTTCATGTCTGTTTCATGGTACTTAATGTGGGGAGGGTTAGACCCTGGCACTGAGGGCATGCGCTGCAGAGTTGCCCACAGGTGCTCATCAGGACTGTAGGTGTCCCTCTCCCACTCCAGCAGGGCCAGAACCTCCTGGCTGTCAAACACGTGATGGACAAAGGCCCTGGAGACCACGAAATAGGCATTTCCGGAGAACATGGGGGTGCTGATTGGAGGAGGGCTCTTCGTAACGCCCGTCCTGACCACTATGTTGTTGGTGATGTTGTGCTGATACTGCCACTGGTGTTTCTTATAGTCGACGATGGTCTCAGACTCCATGCTGTTCCTCCCGTTGAGCAGTTTGAGTGACTGAACCATCTCTGCGTTCGTTTTAATGGGGAAATCTGTTCCACAGGTATTGAGCAGGTACCTCCACTGGACAGGTGACTTCAACAGGTCCCTCATACAGTTTAGATCTGCCTGCACTCGAGACCACGATGCGTAAACTACACTCTCTGTCTTACTTGCCACAAACACATTGGTAAAACAAGACACAATAGCCTTTACTGCAGTCCTGAATTCCTCCGAGGATTTCTGGTCCACATGCACGCAGTATACATTCTGAGGTGTGTACACGGCACGCAGGAGTCGCTCAAACATCTCAATCTTCTCATGGACCACCATGGAGTAGGCGATGGGGAAGTCTCTCTCCTCCACACTCAGGGGCATCATGACGAACCCTCTGTCTGTAACGTAAGTTTTACAGTTTCGGGTCACGTGGTGGTAGAACACCTCAGACAGAAGCTTGGGCTTAATCTTTGTTTTCAGAAGTCTTCTGAGCTGCTCCTTGTCAATGCCCTTCAGGTCTCCTCTGATGATAGCTGAGCAGGCTGGCAGGTCGTCTGCGTAGTCTTGTGGCAGGAGGTCAGGTGCTGGGAGCGGGCTCCTCTCAGAGCAGGTTGGGCGTCTCAGAGTGTTCCAGAGGAGAAGAGAGATCGAAGCGCACATTAGGATGAGAGAGAGGTTTCTGAAGAAGCGTATATGTGATCTTGATGACCTAAGGGGAACCATAACTATTTATCTATGTATTATTCGTATTTGTGTGCAGACCATAGCCTGGGAGCACTGCTGTGAAATGATGAATGTCACACACACACTCAACTCAGTTTAAAGTGAGTAGGTAATTATTAACTTTAATGGGCATGGCTTTATACTGTCTACAAATCCTTGAAATTAAAAGGGTCTAAACTTGGAACAAATGTTGAAAATGAATTACTAGCATACAATACCACACTTTTCAGCAGTTCCAAGTATTGGCATGATGCTCTAAATTACACAATTCTAACCCACTTACCCCACGCAACCAATATTGTTGGACACCCCCCCCCCCCATATAGACTTATGTACATCTATAACACTTGGCCATATGCAGGTCATGGTTGGATGTCGTCTCGGCACCCAGGACCAAATCTCCAGCTACTAATTTTAATAGTTAAACCTGTCATGAGAGAATGGGGTTGGTTGCAGTCAATTCACTCAGTTCAGGAAGTAAACTGAAAATGTAATTCCAGCTTTCCTTGTTGCTTTTATTGCCTCATTAGAGAGGCAATATTAAGGCTTCGCTTGACAGTTATAGTGACACATGATCCAGTCAAACAGTATGTTATTTCTGCTGAATTATTTCCTTTTGAAAAGTTGGTGGTAAAGTCCAAACCAACCATAAAAAAAAAAAATCTTACTAAATATTATGATTTTCACATAAAAATGCAGGTTTCTGATTTCTCTTCCATATTTGAATACTTTACTTCATTTTGTGTATTCAAAAGGCATGAGATTAGAAAATGTAAATGTAATATACTGCAAAATCTAAACAATTATTTGTGTGTAAAATCTATTTAATTTATTCCAACTTAATAATATTGTCTCTTAATTTAAGAACTTTAAGTTCTTGCAACAACTTGATGTGGCTCCGTTTTTAGAAGATTGTGTGTATTTTTTGTTTGTTTGTTGCATTATTACATTTTTACACAATGTTGTATGCATGTTTGAAGAAAGAAAATAATATTTCTATATTAGTCTTAAGCAGTGTGCTATGCTATGAGGTGTAATGGATCATAAGGAACGGATATCAAAACTGTCGGGCAAATTGACGTTCAAAGATGTCCTTAGCCATTCCAACCTGTGCTAATTCACGTGCATCACCCTTAATGTCAGAGGCAAATGCAGCATCCTACAATGCTTGCAGCTCTACTGCCACTTTCTTCTAGTAGAATGAGCACTGTGTTCAACAATGCCTGCTAAAGTGTGTTAAATGGCTATCACGAAAATAGATCATTAAATGTTTCTTATAAATTCAAATGGGCAGTTAAGGACGACTTGACATCACATTTCAGTCAGAAGAAGGTGGCAGTCTCTTCAAATGAAAAGGAAAGTTAAAGAGTAAGGCAACTAGCCAAGCAATAGACTACATATTAGTTATTAATTTGCTTGAGGTCAACGGTTGATTTGGTTTGGAAGTGAATAACAATGCAACTAACTTTATTAAAACAGGAAATTGCTAAATTGAGGGTGAAAAGTTTTATTTCAACACTCCAAGTATTCCTTTTTTTTCACAACCTCCATTGATGTCATCTATACTATCTAATGATATAACTGTTGTAAAGACAGTGTATTCTAAGTGCGACATTACGTTTTTTGTATAATTTAGCAGACGCTCTTATCCAGAGCCACTTCTAATCAGTGCATTCAATTCAATAGATAAAACAAACACGTATAAAATTCATACAAAAACACAATTGAAATAAATATACATTACGGTATTTGCAACCCTTTTTCATTTCATAGCTTTTTACAGATACTCCCAGATTAACCATATGTTGCTTTGAAACGAAGGTAAGATTCCAGACATCGAATGGCTACATCATCCACCTCTGGGTCAAACTTGTTAGCGATGAGGTGGTGGTGTTGTAGGAGCCACCGGAGATCTCCAGCCCCGTAGACACACACAGCTCTCCTGGAGGCACCGGAGCAGGGTGGATATGGGGCTCCTTTCCTCACATCTCCTTCCAGGTAACTCCACTTCACCATGCGAGCGATGGCGTTCATGTCTGTTTCATGGTACTTAATGTGGGGAGGGTTAGACCCTGGCACTGAGGGCATGCGCTGCAGAGTGGCCCACAGGTGCTCATCAGGACTGTAGGTGTCCCTCTCCCACTCCATCAGGGCCAGAACCTCCTGGCTGTCAAACACGTGATGGACAAAATCCCTGGAGACCACGAAATAGGCATTTCCGGAGAACATGGGGGTGCTGATTGGAGGAGGGCTCTTCGTAACGCCCGTCCTGACCACTATGTTGTTGGTGATGTTGTGCTGATACTGCCACCGGTGTTTCTTATAGTCGACGGTGGTCTCAGACTCCATGCTGTTCCTCCCGTTGAGCAGTTTGAGTGACTGAACCATCTCTGCGTTAGTTTTAATGGGGAAATCTGTTCCACAGGTATTGAGCAGGTACCTCCACTGGACAGGTGACTTCAACAGGTCCCTCATACAGTTTAGATCTGCCTGCACTCGAGACCACGATGCGTAAACTACACTCTCTGTCTTACTTGCCACAAACACATTGGTAAAACAAGACACAATAGCCTTTACTGCAGTCCTGAATTCCTCCGAGGATTTCTGGTCCACATGCACGCAGTATACATTCTGAGGTGTGTACACGGCACGCAGGAGTCGCTCAAACATCTCAATCTTCTCATGGACCACCATGGAGTAGGCGATGGGGAAGTCTCTCTCCTCCACACTCAGGGGCATCATGACGAACCCTCTGTCTGTAACGTAAGTTTTACAGTTTCGGGTCACGTGGTGGTAGAACGCCTCAGACAGAAGCTTGGGCTTGATCTTTGTTTTCAGAAGTCTTCTGAGCTGCTCCTTGTCAATGCCCTTCAGGTCTCCTCTGATGATAGCTGAGCAGGCTGGCAGGTCGTCTGCATAGTCTTGTGGCAGGAGGTCAGGTGCTGGGAGCGGTCTCCTCTCAGAGCAGGTTGGGCGTCTCAGAGTGTTCCAGAGGAGAAGAGAGATCGAAGCGCACATTAGGATGAGAGAGAGGTTTCTGAAGAAGCGTATATGTGATCTTGATGACCTAAGGGGAACCATAACTATTTATCTATGTATTGTTCGTATTTGTGTGCAGACCATAGCCTGGGAGCACTGCTGTGAAATGATGAATGTCACACACACACTCAACTCAGTTTAAAGTGAGTAGGTAATTATTAACTTTAATGGGCATGGCTTTATAAAAGGGTCTAAACTTGGAACAAATGTTGAAAATGAATTACTAGCCTACAATACCACACTTTTCAGCAGTTCCAAGTATTGGCATGATGCTCTAAATTACACAATTCTAACCCACTTACCCCACGCAACCAATATTGTTGGACACTTTTTTTTTCATATAGACTTATGTACATCTATAACACTTGGCCATATGCAGGTCATGGTTGGATGTCGTCTCGGCACCCAGGACCAAATCTTCAGCTACTCATTTTAATAGTTAAACCTGTCATGAGAGACTGGGGTTGGTTGCAGTCAAGTCACTCAATTGAGGAAGTAAACTGAAAATGTAATTCCAGCTTTCCTTGTTGCTTTTATTGCCTCATTAGTGAGGCAATATTAAGGCTTCGTTTGACAGTTATAGTGACACATGATCCAGTCAAACAGTATGTTATTTCTGCTGAATTATTTCCTTTTGAAAAGTTGGTGGTAAAGTCCAAACCAACCATAAAAAAAAAATTCTTACTAAATATTATGATTTTCACATAAAAATGCAGGTTTCTGATTTCTCTTCCATATTTGAATTCTTTACTTCATTTTGTGTATTCAAAAGGCATGAGATTAGAAAATGTAAATGTAATATACTGCAAAATCTAAACAATTATTTGTGTGTAAAATCTATTTAATTTATTCCAACTTCATAATATTGTCTCTTAATTTAAGAACTTTAAGTTCTTGCAACAACTTGATGTGGCTCCGTTTTTAGAAGATTGTGTGTATTTTTTGTTTGTTTGTTGCATTATTACATTTTTACACAATGTTGTATGCATGTTTGAAGAAAGAAAATTATATTTCTATATTAGTATTAAGCAGTGTGCTGTGCTATGAGGTGTAATGGATCATGAGGAACGGATATCAAAACTGTCGGGCAAATTGACGTTCAAAGATGTCCTTAGCCATTCCAACCAGAGCTAATTCACGTGCATCAACCTTAATGTCAGAGGCAAATGCAGCATCCTACAATGCTTGCAGCTCTACTGCCACTTTCTTCTAGCAGAATGAGCACTGTGTTCAACAATGCCTGCTAAAGTGTGTTGAATGGCTATCACGAAAAATAGATCATGAAATGTTTCTTATAAATTCGAATGGGCAGTTAAGGACGACTTGACATCACATTTCAGTCAGAAGAAGGTGGCAGTCTCTTCAAATGAAAAGGAAAGTTAAAGAGTAAGGCAACTACCCAAACAATATTTGGTTTGGAAGTGACAAACAATAAAATCAACTTTATTGAGACTTCTTTGTTTGGTGTTTATGACTGCTGTGAGCTGGTGTATTTCCCTGCGTGGAAATTAGATTTGTTGCTTTTCGAGTAAAGTTTGTCTATTACTCAGTTCTGTGTCCTGCGCCTGACTCCGTCCTACCGCTGCACGCTGACACCTGACATCTACGCTCCCCCAGGTTTGCAACATTACCTTTTTGGTATTATGTAGCAGACGCTCTTATCCAGAGCCACTTACAATAAGTTGAATAGTTAAACCTGTCATGAGAGACGGGTTGGTTGGGGTCAATTGAGGAAGTAAACTGAAATTCCCATTCCAGCTTTCCTTATTGCTTCAATTGCCTCGTTAGAAAGGCAATAAGGAGGCTTCGCTTGACAGTTACATGCCTTCAGAAAGTATTAACACACCCCTTGACTTTTTCCACATTTTGTTGTGTTACAGCCTGAATTTAAAATGGATTCAATTGAGATGTTGTGTCACTGACCCACAAACAATACTCCATTTCAAAGTGAAATTATGTTTTTTGACATTTTTACGAATTATACTGAACAAAAATATAAACGCAACATGCAACAATTTCAAAGGTTTTACTGATGTACAGTTCATAAGGAAATCAGTCAATTGAAATAAATAAATTAGGCCTTAATCTATGGATTTCACATGACTGAGAATACAGATATGCATCTGTTGGTCAGATAACTTTAAAAAAGGTAGGGGTGTGGATCAGAAAACCAGTCAGTATCTGGTGTGACCACCATTTGCCTCATGCAGCGCAACACAACTCCTTTGCATAGAGTTGATCAGTGGTCTGTGGAATGTTGTCCCATTCCTCTTCAATGGCTGTGCGAAGTTGCTGGATATTGGTGGGAACTGGAACACGCTGTCATACATGTTGATCCAGAGCATCCCAAACATGCTCAATGGGTGACATGTCTGGTGAGTATGTAGGCTTCCAGGAATTGTGTACATACTATAACCCCACCGCCACCATGGGGCACGCCGTTCACAACGTTGACATCAGCAAACCGTTCACCCACACAACGTCATACAAGTGGTCTGTGGTTGTGAAGTACTGCCAAATTCCCTTAAATGACGTTGGAGCGGCTTATGGTAGAGAAATGAACATTAAATCCTCAGGCAACAGCTCTGGTGGACATTCCTACAGTTGGCATGACAATTGCATGCTCCCTCAAAACTTCAGACATTTTATAGTGGCCTTTTATTGTCCCCAGCACAAGGTGCACCTGTGTAATGATCATGCTGTTTAATCAGCTTCTTGATATGTCACACCATTTTGGGGATGTTTTATTTCAGCTCATGAAACATGGGACCAACACTTTACATGTTGCGTTTTATATTTTTGTTAAGTATATAATACGAATTGTAATTCGTAACATATCATATGAAATGGGTGATAGATAGACACAAATTAATACATACCATACGAAACGTAACATATCATACTAAATGGTGTGTCTAGGATTTACGTACAGAATAATACAAAATGCTCTGAGACCAGGTGGGGAAGCACTGTTGTTAAATGATTCATGTTACACACACCTCAGTTTAAAGTAAGTAATCATTCATTTTAGTGGGCATGAATTTTTACTGTCTACAATTACTTGAAATTAAAAGGTAAATAACTTGGAACAAATGTGAGTTGAAGATGAATTACTAGCCTACAATACCACACTTTTCATCAGTTCCAAGTAGTGACGTAATGCTCTAAATTACACAATTCTAACCCACTTACCCCATGCAACCAATGACATTACAGAATGTTGTTTTTTCATATAGAATTATATACATCTAAAACACTTGGCCATACGCAAGTCATGGTTGGAGGGCATCTCAGCACACAGGACCAAATCTTCAGCTACTCATTTGAATAATTAAACCTGTCATGAGAGACTGGGGTTGGTCAATTCATGAAGTAAACATGAAATTCCAAATTCAAACTTTCCTTATTGCTTCAATTGCCTCAGTAGAGGAAATAACAAGGCGTCGCTTGACAGTTATAGTGACATATTACACAGTATAGGAAATAACGAGAATTCGCTTGACAGTTATAGTGTGTCACTAACGTTGAGAGACGGGTCGGACCAAGGTGCAGCGTGAAAAGCGTACAGGTTTATTAAGTCAAATAAACATACAAGAAAACACTGTAACGTGAAGTCCAACGCGCTATACACACACCAGCCTAACAGGAACAAGATCCCACAACTAAGGTAGGCAACCAGGCTACTTAAGTATGATCCCCAATCAGAGACAATGAGCGACAGCTGCCTCTGATTGGGAATCACACCCGGCCAAACCTAGAATTACACATCTAGATCCTAAACATAGAAATTCTAACATAGATCCTCACGCCCTGACCAAACCAACTAAAGACAACAGGCCTCTCAAGGCCAGGGCGTGACATAGTGACAAATTACACAGTCAAACAATGATATTTCTGCTGAATTACTTCCTTCTGAGAAGGTGGTGGTAAAGTCCAAACCACCTTGTGGTGCACTGTAAACAATGATTCAGGGGCTTAGTAAATATTGATTTTCACATAAAAATGCAATTTTTTTTGTTAAAGAGTAAGGCAACTAGGTAAGCAATGGACCAATGTTCCCTCTAATTTCAGGTCTGTGGAGCACAAACTTGAATGTTGTGAAAATTCTGTACAGCTTCCAGCACGCCTTTACTGTGAACACTGAGGCTGTACATGCTTTAAGTTACAGTTTCAGACAGTGGTCAAGTAGGCTACTGTGGCTATTTGATCATACTGTAGACCTACCAGAGTGGGCTACCATAAAAAACAATGATTAAAATGCATCCCATAATGTTTTAACATGTAAATAGCTGTTCTATCATTCAGCCTACAGTAGCAGCCAGTGTGTGGTGTTCAATGTAGGCCTACATACCATGACTTTTGAAAAAAATATGCAAGGCTTGACATTAACCTGTTTATCCACTTGTCCTTCAGACAAGGAGGTGACTGAAAATGTTGTGTTGTTTGATAGAAGAAACCACTTTACAGAATAAAAGTATTATTCCCATACCATTATTACAGAGAATCAGACAAATTATGCTACCCTCTGCCTATTGGCTACTAAGCTTATTCAAGCGTGTCTCAAAATACAACACTGCCCCTTTAAGACTAAAAAAAAGCTATTTACCAGACTCTAGAAATGAATAGATTTTGTGCTCTTGCAGGAAGCAATCACTCCCCCATTGCTGACTACAAATGATCCATAACTGGGCAAATAAATCACTAACTAGTAAAGGATATGAACAAATGTGCACACGTGACTACATGCAGCTCTCGCTTTGATTTCAAAACAAACGCATGACCGCTCATGCTGTAAATACAGTCCAGTTCAAAGTGAATGGCACACATCCATATACAGTGGGGAAAAAAAGTATTTAGTCAGCCACCAATTGTGCAAGTTCTCCCACTTAAAAAGATGAGAGAGGCCTGTAATTTTCATCATAGGTACACGTCAACTATGACAGACAAATTGAGAAAAAAAATCCAGAAAATCACATTGTAGGATTTTTAATGAATTTATTTGCAAATTATGGTGGAAAATAAGTATTTGGTCACCTACAAAC